TTTTACCTTCTGGTGAGTTATTCCCCAGAAGCATCCTTTCCCCGTGTAGATAGGCCCATGTTGGAGGCCCCAGCGTGCAGCCTTGTGTGAACCACAGGTAGGTTAGGTCTCCAGGGGAGACCCCAGCTGTACCCATGCCATAAACCCATTCTCACATCTATATATATATATTTTTTGGTACCGGGAATCAAACTCATGACCTCAGGCTTGCCAGGCAAGCACTTACGCCACTGAGCTGCATCCCCAGCCCTCTCACATCTATCTGTAATGATCTAGTGGGCAGCCACTGGCTCCCAGGCACCAGGGGACTGATCGTGATAAAGGACATCTGAAGAGCTTAAGGTGTGGCAGGCACTATTCCCTATCTCCGCCCACTTAAATCCATTTAATCTCCCAGAGGCATATGACATTGGCCAGGCCAGCACAGTGTGGTAGGAAAGAAATAGATGAGCACTCTGCTGAATTCTTTTTTTTTTTTTTTTCTTTTTGAGACAGGGTCTCGCTATGCAGTTCAGGCTGGCCTTGAGCTCACTTTGTAGCCCAGGCTGGTCTCGAACTCACAACGATCCTCCCGCCTCAGCTTCCCGAGTGCTGGGATTACAGGCATGCGCCACCACGCCTGGCCTCACTCTGCTAAATTCTGATTTGACCTATTTAAGTAGAAGTCTAAGTCAAATGAACAGTCTAACTCGAATGACCAAAATAGTCACAGCCCCTCAGTCAATGCCTAGACTTGACCCAATTCACCTACCAGACACTTTTTTTTTTTTTTGAGACAGGGTCTCACTATGTAGTTCAGTCTGACCTTGAACTCGCTATGTAGCCCATGTTGGCCTCACAGCAATCCTCTTGCCTAAGCCTCCTGAGTACTGGGATTACAGATGTACACTACTATACCGGGCTCCAGACAATTTGTATTCCTTTCTTTCCTGTTTTTTTTTTGGTGATGCTATGGATAGAACAGAGCCTCATGCAGAGTAGGCAAGCATTCTAGTTTGGGACTACATCCCCTGCCCCAGACCAGACATCTTGGCTGAAAGGGCACTGCTTTCCTTAAGAGGGGCCTCACTGCCTAAAAAAGTCTACTGTTCACCTTTTTCCCCTCTCTTTCTCTAAGGGACCTCCAGACTCTTCTGGCTCCAAACTGACACTATTTCCAGGGAACCAGAATACCACTGTGATCCGCAGGGCAGCTAGAGTAGGGGATAAAGGAGGTTGGGTGACCCAGTGGTTCCCAGACCACCCTGTGGTCTGACCCCCAGCCTCGGAATGCATAACAGGAGCGGACGCCACGCAGCCACAGGCAGAGCCCTTGTGAAGTAGGCACAGCGATCACCGCCCCAAGTCACAGAGAGAGAGCGCGCACCCAAGGGGTAGGGGATTTGTGACTTTACTCACGGTCATGCTGCCGGAAGCTGGGATTCAAACGTGACAGCATGGCTCCAAACTCCATGTCCCTAACTATGACACCTTCTGACCTTAAGTCCTTGCGGCTCAGGGGGGACAAGCAGTCACACAGATCACTGCAAGGGACAGCAGAGCAGTAGTGAAGGAGGTTGAGACGGGTGGGATGGTGGATGGAGTCCGCAAAGTGTCCCTGGCCCAGCAGTGCATAGCAGTTCAAAGGGTGTGCTGGAGGGCGCAAAGGTGTTCCGCCCGGGCAGAGGGGCAGAGGCAGGCTGAGCCAGCGGGCTGAGGCTCGGGCTGTCTGGGGTTGGGTGGGAAAGACCACAGACTCACGGCCCCAGACACAGCAGGGCGCCGGGGAGGGACCCAGGAGGGACTGGGCCTGGCCCTGCTTTGGCCTGGGCCTCAGGAGCTGTCCCTGCCCGTGCCGCTGGGGCATTCCATCCAGAACTCCCGCAGACGTGTGCTTTCTGTACAAGTCCCTGCGGTCGGTGTGTAGCAATGACTTTTATCTCTGAGCAAACACCCTTTGGGTTTTATTTTTACTTCTTTTTGTTTATCATTCTGGACATCTCGCTGACGCCCAGCGCAGCCCCAGAAGGAGGGCAAAAGCTCTTCAGCAAACATAGGAGGCTGGGCAGCTTTTTGTTAAGGACATTCATCCTGGTCACACGCACCAAAGCAGCAGCGCTGGCAGCAGCTTTCCCTGGCCCATCACTAACCACAGCAGGCTGAGACAGGGGCCTGGGGGAGAGGGACGGACGCGCACAGGGTGCCCTTCCATGCTATCTTCACTTCTATCTGGGCAATAGGCAGGCGTTTACCCACAGAGGTGTAAATGAACTGGCTCAAAGTTGCACAGCAGTGCACGGATTAAAGCCCCGGTTGGCTGGCTTTCTGCCCCGTCTCCTACCCAACTCTGAGTCTCGAAGCACAGGCCACCCAGGGCCTTTAGGTTAGTGGAACTTGCGGAGAGTGAGACCCTGGAGAAGAGAAAGTCATTGGCGTCCTTCTCCCACCCAGTCTTGCTCCAAAATGCCCAGCGTGGAGGTCCTAATAGCTAATTGGCCTGGGGGCTTCCTGCATGCTGAGCCCTGCGTCTGCATGAAGCTGTTTAAACCTCACCACAGTTCTGCTGGGTAGGTGCTGTTGTTATGCTCATTTTATTTTATTTATTTATTTATTTATTGCCTTTTTGACACAGGGTTTCACTATGTAGTTCAGGCTGGCCTTGAACTCACTTTGTAGCTCAGGCTGGCCTCGAACTCACAGCGATTCTCCTGCCTCAGCCTCCCGAGTGTTGGGATTATAAGCATGCGCCACCATGCCCGGCCTGATATCCTCGTCTTATAACTGAGGATATGAAGTGGGGAAAGGGAAAATAACTTCATCAATTTCACAAAGCGCATGAGTGGTGGAGTTAGGATTTGAGAATAGGTATTCTCCAAGTACCATTTTTTTAAAAAAATTAATTATGGTAAAATAGACATAACATACCATTTTTCATTTTAACCTTTTTTGTATGTGTGGTGCTAGGGATTGAGCCAAGGTTTGCTGGACCATGGAGCTACATCCCCAATCCTTTTGATTTTTTTTTTTTTTTTTTTGAGACAGGGTTTAGCCCAGGCAGGTCTTTAACTTGCCCTCCTCCTTCCTCCACCTCCCCAGTGCTGGGATCACAGGTATGCACCCCCACACCCAACCTCTTAACTGTCTTTGAAACATTCAACTGTGCTATGAGGTTGTGCAGCCACCCCTGTCATCCTTCTCTGGAAGACTTTTCAGTTTACAAACAGAAACTCCGTATCCACCGATCAATAGATACACTGGGCAATAGATACATCCTTCCTTCCCTGAAGCCCCGGTGACTGGCTTATTTCTCTTGGCATAATAAGGTCCTCAAGGTTCAGTCATGTTGTATCCTGTGTTAAAACTGGCTTCCTCTTTAAGGCTGAATGGCACCCATTGGATGGAGGAACCACGTTTTGTTTATCTATTCATCCACCCATGAGCAATAGTTTGCATCCATTTTTTTGGCTGTTGTGGACATGAACACCAGTGTACACATCCCTCTTGAGATTCTGCTAATGTTTTGGGGTGCATACTCAGAAGTTCTGAAGCCCCCCTTATGCCACAGTTCCTGCCGCCTATCGGAAGTCCCGTGTGGCAATGTGGGGCTTTCAGCAGGGCTTTGCTGGAGTCTCGGGCAGGGGCCATCGTGGGAAAGTGGGTGTGGTCTGAGAAGGAGTCCTGTCCATCCCCCCGCCCCCACACATACTCGTAGCTCGGTTTCTAATCAGCCATACTGGTCCAGATGAGCCGAAGCACAGGGTTCCTCTCTGCCTCCCCGGCATGCAGATAGGCATGTGTGCATATGCAGATGTCCTGCCACAGAGCACTGGGAGGCTGGACTCCCCGAATTTGAACCTGGCCTTGATACTTCCCAGCCCTGCATGTTAGGCAGTTTTTATTTGCTCAACCGTAAGCCCTGGTCATCGCGCACACCCGGGATCTTGGGTGGGATGCATGAGCCAACCACATGCAGCTCTCACGGCTGTGACAGGCACGTGGCGGCCACTCAACACATGCTGATGGCAATGCAGGCTGCAGCAGAGCCCCCTGAGAGCGGCCAGCGAGCACCCAGCACCCTGCTGAGGGTCGAAGTGCCTGGCTAGGCCTTAGCTCTGTCACTTCCTGGGTGCCCTCGGCAAGTGTGCTCACCTCCCTGAGCCTCAGTTTCCTAATTACTCCAGCGTGATTATGGGTTACTTCCCAGGGCAGACATCCAGCGAGGCCCAAGGGATGCCGCTGTGCCGTTAGGGGCGTGGTGGCGTATGTCTGTCATCCTAGCACTCTTCGAGGCCGCAGCGGGATGATCAAATGTTTGAGCCCAGCCTGGGCAATTTAGCAGGACCCTGTCTCAAAACAAAAAATTTAAAAACGAGGCCAGGCATGGTGGCACATGCCTGTAATCCCAGCACTTGGGAGGCTGAGGCAGGAGGATCATTGCAAGTTCGAGGCCAGCCGGGGTTACAAAGTGAGCTCAAGTCCAGCCTGAAATGCATAGTGAGACCTTGTCTCAAAAAGACAAAAAAATTTTTAAAAATGAATAAACAAAATAAAAAATAAGTGGGGCTGGGGATTTAGCTCAGTGGCACAGTGCCTGCCTGGCAAGCGTGAGGTTGTGAGTTCCATCCCCGGTACCAGAAAACAAACAAACAAACAAAAAATAAAATAAAATAAAATAAAATAAAATAAAAAGTGCTGAAGGTGCTCAGTGCAAACGTCTTGGGCTCAATCCCCAGGAACACCCCCCCTCGACGCCCCCGCCCCAGGAGTGTGGTCCAAGCTCTATCATTCACTCCCTGTGGCTCTGACAAAGTCACTCTCACTTTCTGAGCCTGTTTCCTCATTTGTAAAAGGGAATTTCGCTCTGTCAGTAGATCCCAAACTTGACAGCTGCTAGAACTGCTTGGTGAGCTTTCAAAAATGTAGATTCCCTGCTCTTATCCTAGATATTCTGCTTCAGTAGGAGTCAGGTAGGACCAAGGACTCCACTTTGAGGAACAGTCCCAGAGGATTCCAACCTGTTTTACTTTCAGAGTTCACTGGATGAGATGACTCTGAGGTTCTTGCGATTCTCACCTTCTCTGATTCTACAGTCAGTTAATGTAGCCAGCAGGGGCCAGGGATATAGCTCAGCAGCACAGCGCCTGCCTGGCAAGCACAAGGTCGTGAGTTCTATTCCCGGTACCAAGACAAAAAAAACAACTGCCAGCCTGAGCAGAAAGATTGTGGCAGACACAATGTGTCCACCCAATACTCTACTCACACCCAGCACTGCCCCTACCCGTCCCCTTGGGTGGGGCTCAGAAAGGTCCCAGCCAGTGAGATCTGCGTGGGATATCCTCATCCCAGGGAATAGGGTCTCTGGTGTGGAGTGGTGGTGGTCAGGCTCAGACTGGGCCCTGGGGGAGGAGTGGAGGATTGTCCAAGGCCAGGGGCCTCCCAGGACAGCTAGAGAAGCCTGGTAGTGGATTGGCTGGCTGGCCAGGGCGGTGGATTCCCATATGAGGCACCAGGATAAGCACAGAGCTACTGCTCCCTGAAGAGGTGTTCATGGGGAGGCACAGCAAGCCCAACGGGGAGGGCTGACTCACCCTGAGTCCCTGAATAGCGCTGATGGTAAGGGAAATCCATCCCCACCACTTCCAAGCTGAGGCTGTTTCCTTCCAGAGGCCATGACTTCAGAGTGGCTTGGAGAATGTTTATATCAGTGGATGTTTACACCTCCATTCAGTGGTGACCTTTGTTGGGGTTTGGAATTCTTCCCCGTTGATCTTAAAAAGAAAAAGGATGACTCCAACTTTCCATGGTAAATTCCAGCATGTGTGGACAATAGGTTATAGGCTGTACATGGCCTCCTTTACCTCAGGCAAAGCCTCGGCCCATTTTAAAATTTAAAGTTCTACTATATATTAGTTTATTATAGTTTATATAACTGGTATTTACATCTTAAATTTTATGTATTTGATTTTTTTTTTTTTCCAATACCAGGAATCAAACTCACGACCTTATGCTTGCCAGGCAGGCGCTGTGCCACTGAGCTAAATCCCCAGCCCTAAAGAAATGGTTTTTTGTTTGTTTGTTTGTTTGTTTGTTTTTTCCATTACCAGGAATTGAACTCACGACGTTGCGCTTGCAAGGCAGGAGCTGTGCCGCTGAGCTAAATCCCCAGCCCCCTGTATTTGAAAAACAATACATTCCCATAACAAAAATCCAGGAGGTACAGGACGCACAGTGACAAGTAAGTTGTCCTCCCTGATCCCACAGTGCCTGGTCTCCCCTCCCCCAGCCAACACTTCCTTGCAAGTTTCTCCTGTCCTGCCAGAGATCCGTCCACCAGGGCCTGGCAAGCTTTTCTGGAAGGGCCAGAAAGTCGGCATTTTAGGCCTTTGGGTCCATGTCCTTGATACAACTGTTTGATTTTGCCTTTGCAGCTTCAAAGGCAACATGTGAACTCAGGAGCCTGGCTTTGACCCAGTGAAACCTGACTCATAGACATAGACATTTGACTACTATATCATACTCTCCTTTTGATTTTTTCCAACTACTTAAAAATGTGCAAGGTGGGCAAGGTGCCACGTGCCTATAATTCCACCTGCTTGGGAGGCTGAGAGAGGAAGATCACGTAAGCCCAGGGTTTGAGACCAGTCTCAGCAACACAGTGAGACCACATCTTTACAAAAAAAGTGAAAACCATTCTGGGCTCAAAAGTGATGGTGAGCTGGATTTGTCCTATTTGCATATATATATATATGCAAATAGTTCAAATATATATGCAAATATATACATATCTCCTTATCCTCACATATACACACATTCATTTGAAAATTTTATACAGTGTCCATAAAATTTTTCTGCAAGTCTCAGTAGTGAGGATATCAGGATGTTCTTCTGGGCAGAACATGAACAATAGCCATGGAAATCCACATTTTAGTTTGCACAAGATTCTGAGGACTTTCCAATTCCCCAGGTTATCCAAGTTATGAAAATAATCATTTTTAATTCACTTTGATTAAAATGTGAACTGTGCATTCTTTTTCTTACATCCCCCCTCCCCATATTGGGGCTCAAGCGCTGGGCCTTTCACATGTGAAACAAGCATATTACCACTGAGCTACTTCCCTGCCTCTCTGTCACCCTGTTTTAAAAACTGGGGTTTTGCTGGGGATTTAGCTCAGTGGCAAAGCGCCTGCCTGGCAAGCGCAAGGTCGTGAGTTCGGTTCCCGGTACCGGAGAAAAACCAAAAAAAAAAAAAAAAAAAAAAAAAAAAAAAAAAAAAAAAAAAAAAAAAAAAAAAAAAACTGGGGTTTTTTTCTCATCAATTTGGCAAAACTCTATATTTTACGGATACCAATCTTTATGGTTTCTGCCATGGATTTATACCTAGTTTCCAAAATGATTGACAAAATGATTCTGAAGTTTACTTGGCAGAGAGAAAATTCTTAGAGAAAAAAATTAATGGAGAGGGGCATTTCCTCTCTGATACTAAAATGTATTATAAGGCTGGGCGTGACGGCACACACCTGTAATCTCAGCATTTGCGAGGCTGAGGCAGGAGAATCGTTTTGAGTTCAAGACAAGCCTGGGCTACAAAGTGAGCTCAGGGCCAGCCTAAACTGCATAGTGAGACCCTGTCTCAAGAAGACAAATACAATAATAAAATAAAATAAAATATATTATAAAGTTACAACGATTAAAACTTTGTTTTCCTTTTCCTTTTCAAAAGAAAAGCGTCCTATTAGCCTGTTAAGCACAGTACCTGACACACTGGATGGAGGTTTTCCTTCATTATACCATCTTCAAAATGTGAGTGGAAATAGAATCTTAACACTGATGCATAAGAATTACAAGGAAACAGAATCCAGAGCAGTTGAAAGGCTTTCTTTTTTCTTTTTTTTTTTTTGTCTTTTGAGACAGAGTCTCACTATGTAGTTCAGGCTGGCCTTGAGCAAACTTTGTAGCCCAGGCTGGCCTCGAACTCACAACGATCCTCCTGCCTCAGCCTCCCAAGTACTGGGATTACAGGCATGCGCCACCATGCCCGGTTGTGCATGTAATTCTTTAGCATTGAAGAAGAGAGTCTGAGGAGGAAATGATTTGCCTGAGATCGTACCATGAGCAACTGGAAAAACCAGCGTTTGAATCCTGATTTGCCTAATCCCAAAGAGATGTGGTTTTTTGTTTGTTCATTTTTTGCGGTGCTGAGGGTTTAACCCAGAACCCTGTATATGTTAGGCGAGCACTGAGCCACACTCCCAGCCCAGATAGTCTTCAAAGGTGGGCATCCCTGGCGGTTTCTATTTGACTAGCTCAGCGATCTTCACATAGGAGCTTCACATAGAGTAATTATCCCCACTTTCCAGGTGCAGAAACTGAGGCCTCGAAATACCACACAACTAACAAATGCGAGAGGCAGGACTTGAACGGGCCACTGACTCTCTTCCTGCAAGGGACTTTGCACACACCCAGTAGTCAGACCTCGGCTCTCCTGATAAAGTCGCGCCCTTTTCTCTGGTCAGCTGGAGTCTGCAGGTAGTGTGGTTTTTCTGTTTATCAAAGGCCCTGCCAGAGCCTGGCACCTTGTAGGAATAAATCAGAGTGACGATGTCAAGCTAGAACTCGGGAGAAATGGCCTCCAGCAATCAATCCTCCAGGCCCCAGTCTCTGGGATTGCGGTGTCCACAGGCTCATTTAAAAAAATCTGTTGATGGCCATCTCTGTTTTTCTGGCTCTTGCAGTTTCAAAGTTCCTTTTCCAGGGCAAAAATGTTGCAGACCTCGGAGGGTTTACTTAGAATGGGAACCTGGCGGACCTGCTGAGCCGCCGCCAACCATTGGTTGTGTGGAGGGCGGGGAATGGGTTAATTTGCATACACTTGTTCGATTGGCTTAAGGGAAAGAAGTGGGCGGGCTCCACCAAATTCACCTGTTGGTGGGTGGAGCGCGTAGGACTTCCGGCCATGGCAAAGGTGGCCGTGCTACCTGGCAGCTGTGAGCGAGGCTGGGCCTCCGGGTCGAGTCGCCTCCACCCGGACCCCAGCCCTGCGCCTATGCGGCCGCCTTGTAACTGGGACTGGCTGGAGCAGGGCACAAAGCTCAGTGACTTGCTTATTTCTGGAAAGGGCAAATTCCCCTGGGGTACAAGGGCAGGGAAGGTAGGAGTGGAAGGGAGATTTTCGTTGTAAAACCTTTTATGCCCAGTCATAAGGCCCTATTAAAACGGATAACCAAGCTAGCGTGGTGGCACACAGCTGTAATTCCAGCATTCTTGAGGGCTGAGGTAGGAGGATCAGCCCCAAGTTCAAGCCCAGCCTAGACAATTTAGCGAGACCCTGTCTCAAAATGAAAAATGAAAAAAAGTCCAGGGATACGGCTCAGTGTGAAGGCCCTGGGTTCAATCCCCAGTGTTCGTGTGTGTGTGTGTGTGTGTGTGTGTGTGTGTACTGTATCTTTGTCAGTGCACGTCGAGGTTCTGGGGATGGGTTGGGAGCCAGCCCTGAAAGATCCTGCCTCCTCGAGTTCAAATTTTAGTGAAGAGGAAGAATGCAAGAACGAAGTAAAGGATTTACCAGATGGTGACCTAAGCAAAAGAAAAGGGAAGCAGAGGGAAGGTCTGCCCTGGGAGGGCTGCCCATCTTTGGATGAGGGGGCTAAAGATGGCTTCCTGGAGCAGGTTTAGAGGCGTTTAGGAGCCACCCAAATGAAGTAAGGGAGGGTCCCCCGAAGTATCTGGGACAGGAGTGTTCCCGGCTGAGGGACAACAGGAGGAACAACCCCGGTGCAGTCAGTCTCAGACAGAGAACATTGAATTAAATGGGGTGGCGGGCGGTGCTGGGAGGAAAACAGTAACATTAATAACAAAATTTCAAGTACTTCTGGTGGCTTATACAAGTTCAGTAATTTGCTGAAAGCTGTAGCCAATAGATTTTCTTTTCTTTTTTTTTCTTTTTTTTTTTTTTTTTTTTGGTACTGAGAATCAAACTCAGGACCTTAATAAGCTTGCCAGGCAGGTGCTTGTGCCGCTGAGCTATAGCCCCGACCCCTGTCACCAATAGATTGTCATCATGTGTCACAAAGTCAACATCAGGGCCTGTATTTTTAAAAAATGAAACAGAAAAAAAGATAAAAAAAATTTTAAAAATAAAAAATGGAACAGAAGAGTACTTTGGGAAATTTTGTTTCATGTATGTGTTTTTACTGGAATATATATATATATATATATTTTTTTTTAAATCTGAGACAGGGTTTCACTATGCTGTTCAACTTGCAACGATCCTGGCTTAAAATATATTTCTTACAGCCTGTAATCCCAGCACTCTGGATGCTGAGGCAGGAGGATCATTGAGAGTTCGAGGCCAGCCTGGGCTCCAAAGTGAGCTCAAGGCCAGCCTGAACCGAATAGTGAGATCCTGTCCCCCACCCCCCACAAAAAAAAAAATTGGCTGGATGTGGTAGAGCATGCCTATAACCCCTGCACTCAGGAGGCTGAGGCAGGAGGATTGATGCAAGTTCAAGGCCAGTTTGACCCTATCTCAAAACAAAACAAACACTCAAAAAGTATTACTTTGGGGCAGCACTATGGGTAAAGTATCCCCTGCAAGCCCAGCACGCTGTCATTTACACTGAGGCTGCAGTTGGAAGGTAACCTATCAGGCAGTGTGCTGGAATCCCTAGTGGTGCTGGGCCCTCCGGACAGATTTCCATGGTGGATGGAAACCGTCAATAATTTAGATGAGTGGCTAGATAGGTAGCTCTCATTAATTACTATGACTATTATTATTATAACTAAGTTCCTAGGAAATCAAACCCAGCCTCTATCTTTCTGCCCTTTGGATCTCAGGCCAGGCTCCTACAGGCCACACCCATCTCTGGGCTAAAAAGCAGTAGAAGAATTGCTAGGAATGCTGGGTGTGGTGGGCACACCTGTAATTCCAGCGCTTGGGAGGCTGAGGCAGGAGGATTGCTGTGAGTTTGAGGCCAGCCTGAACTACATAGCAAGACCCTGTCTGAAAAAACAGGGAAAAAGCAAAGAAAGAAAGAAAGAAAAGGAGAGAGAGAGAGAGAGAGAGAGAGAGAGAAAGAAAATTGCAAGGAAGGTAGCCGCAGGGTAAGTCTTGAAACCATTCCCTTCAGTCACTTAAGGACCCACCTCAGGGCTGTTGTAAGGACTACAGGAATAAGCAGTCATCCCTTGGTATCTGTGGGGGGCTGGGTCCAGGTCCCCCTCAGACTGTAAAATCTTCAGATTTTTGAGAATTCTGAAACAGGGTCTCAGTAAATTGCTAAGTTTCCCAGACTGAGCTCAAACTTGCAACCCTCCTACCTCAGCCTTCCAGAGTGCTGGGATCACAAGTATGCACCAGCATACCCAGCTCATACTTTAAATGACTTCTTTTTTTTTTTTTTTTTTGGTACCTGGAATCAAACTCATGACCTCAGGCTTGCCAGGCAAGCGCTTATACCGCTGAGCTATATCCCTGGCCCCTTAAATGACTTCTAGATCACTTATAATGCCTAATGCAAAGTAAATGCCACGTAAATACTTGCTGTATAATATTTAAAGAATAGTAAGTCTATTCAGGTTTAGTATGACACAGTTTTTTACGGGTTATTTTGACCTCCATTGAATGCATGGCTGCAGAACGGAGGCTATGAGGGCCGACTGTATATGGAAATGTTTTAGAAAAATGCCTGGCATGTCTTCTGCGCCCTATAAACATGAGCTGCTATTGTCTTTCCAAAGTCCCGGAAGCTGCGGTAGAAGGACTGTAGGCTGGGGAGGATCTCAGCCCCAGGGGCACTGTAGCCCAGACCCTGCCAGACTTTCCAGGCAGGCTGCCTCTGCCCCTGGCTCTTGGCTCCTGCAGTTTGCCCTGTTCATAAGGGAGCTCAGCCTCCAGCCTCCCTGGCTCGTGCCTCCCCCTCTTACCCAAGGCACTTGGTGGTTTCGGCTCCACTTCCGTTGGTTGAGGGACTTCGAGGTGGAGGGGCTTCCCTTGGGCAAGAGCGGCGCTTCCTCTGCCCGTCCGCTGTGGCTGCCCTGGCCTCTGTCCTCCTTCGGGGCCTGAGTACTGCTCAGAGTCTCCTCTTATCTCCGAATCTCGCAAGTCACCCTCCACCGAAGCTTACTCCCTGTGTGCGCTCACAGAGGCCTCAGGTTTGGAACGTGCTTCCTACCCACTACCAGGAGGGCTCGTCAGACCAGGTCTGGTAGGGGGGCATCGCACCTTATTGTCTACAGACAGCTAGTCAACACCGAGGCCTGGTGCTCTCATGGGATAAGCTGACCTGGCAGAGTTGGGACCCAGGCCAGGCCCCTTCTCTACCTAATGAGAAGGCATTGTAACATCCGTGTGTATGGCATCTATCATGAGCCAGGTAGGCATCTTGCCAGACTGTTTTTATTTATTTAGTTCTTATTTATTTATTTATTGTCTTTTTTGAGACAAGGTCTCAGTACGCAGTTCAGGCTGGGCTTGAGCTCACTTTGGAGCCCAGGCTGGCCTCGAACTCACAACGGTCCTCCTGCCTCAGCCTCCCGAGTCCTGGGATTACAGGCGTGCACCACCATGCCCAGCCCTGCCAGACTGTTTTTAAACCAGTGTACTTTTGTTTCATTTTCACCCAGTTCAGTGTGTGGTAGAACCTATTCAAACCCTCAGGTCTGAGTACCAGATCCAAGGTGCCTACCTTTCTGTCCCAGCCGCTATGAACCAGAGGTCAAGTTGTATTTGCTCACATTGCTTAAACCCTGTGATGTCAACCTCACTCCTTCCCCATGCAGCTGGGTTCGGCTGCCAAGGAGGCTTGGGGTCCATCTCCCCCACCTGGAGGGTCTGCCTGGCCCACCCTCCTGGCAAGGAGACAGCAGGACCACACTGTCCTCTGCCATGCAGAAGCAATGAGGTCAAATGCTGAAACTAATCTCAAAGGGAAGAGAGTCGAGAGTCGCTCCCACACCAAGCCAAACAGCCTGGCGTGGCCGAGGGCATGGAGCGGGTCACGCTGGAAAGAGGTCGTGCTTCCTGTCGAAGAATGTGGCTGGGAGGAGCAGACGGGTTGATGGTTTTCACCTCTAAATACCTGTTTCCATGGAGCTGGGCAAGGCAAAGTTCATTCCATTTTTATTTGTTTTTATTCTTTTTACAGCAGCTTTATTGAGATATAATTCACATGCTGTAAAATCCACCCTTTAAAAGTCTCCAATTCAGTGGCTTTTAGTAGACCCACAGAGTTTTGCAATCATTACTATTATCTAATTCCAGAACATTTTCACCACTCAAAAAAGAAGTGAGCCGGATGTGGTAGCATAGGTCTGTAATCCTAGCACTGGGAGGCTGAGACAGGAGGATCGCTTCGAGTTTGAGGCCAGCCTGGGCTACATAGTGAGTTAAAGGACAGTTTGAACTGCAGAATCTCCAAAAAAAGACAAAGAAAGAAAGAAACTTCCTACCGTTAGCAGTTACTCCCATTCTCTCGTCCCCTTGCCCCTGGCAATGAATAATCTACTTTCTATAATCTACTTTTTATCTCTTAGAGTTGCCTCTTTTAGCCATTTCATACCAGTATATGATTTTTGTGGCTGATCTCTCTCTTTTCTTTTTTCTTTTTCTTTTTGTTTTTTTTTTAAATTTACACAGGGTCTCACTATGTAGCCCAGATTGGCTTGGAACTCTCAGTGATCCTCCTGTCTCAGCCTCCCAAATGCTGGGATTACACCCATGCACCACCACACTTGGCTGTGGCTGGCTTCTTTCACTTAGGATGATGATTTCAAGGTCATCCATATTGACCTATCGATCACAACTTTGTTCCTTTTTCATTGTCAAATGGTACCCATTGCATGGATAGGCAATGTTTTGTTTATCCGTCATCAGTTCATGGATATTTGGGTTGCTTTGCCTTGGGCTATTAAAAATAACGCTGCTGTAAACAGTCATGTTGTGGGCAAGTTGTGGACAGATGCTTCCCATTCATCTTGGTCCATGTGCTCCTACCGTAACAGAATATCATAAGCTAGGTCATTTATTAAAAACACAAATTTCTTTCTCACAGTTCTGGAAGCTGGGAAGTGTAGACTCCAAGTGCTGGCATCTGAGGGTCTTCTTTCTGCATCACACAGTGGGGGTGTCACACGATGAGGGGATGAGGGGGTGGGGGCAGGAGAGAGCCAAGGAAGCCAAACTCCCTTTCAGAACAACCCACTCTTTGGTTTCTTGGGACAGGGTTTCTCTATGTAGCCCAGGCTGGCCTTGAACTCAAGGCAATCCTCCCAACTCAGCCTCCTGAGTTCTGAGATTACAAGCTGCTACTGCAGCATCTGGTTTAGAACAACCCACTCTTGAGGTAACTGAGCTGCCTACTCCCCAGAAAATGTCTCTAATCCATCATGAGGGTGAAGTCCTGGTGAACTAATCACCTCTTAAAGGTCCACCTCCCAGTGCTGCCGTGGCAATGAATGTTTTTTCAATTTGTATCTTTTATTAGTACATGTTTGCAGTACGTAATGATTACATGCCATGGTCACTAAATTTTACCATGCATGTGGAGGGGACAGCCAAACCATACCCTGCAGGGACTCTATCTGCTCCCCAGAAGGGGCTTTACGCTGTTTCCCAAGTGGCCCCAGTGTTTTACAGTCCCGCTGGTGACAGTGAAGTTTGTAGCCCAGGCTGGCCTTGAACTCATGAGAGCTCATGGCAATCCTCCTGCCTCAGCCTCCCAAATTCTGGGATGATAGGCATGTGCCACAATGCCCTGCTTCATTTCCTTATAAAGCATTGACAGCTGGGTGTGGTGGCGCACATCTGTAATCCCAGCACTCAGGAGGCTGAGGCAGGAGGATCCTTGGGAGTTCAAAGCCAGCCCGAACTGCATAAGGAGATCCTGTCTCAAAAAGACAAAAACAAAGAAAAATAAATAAATAAATAAAGCTTCGACAATGTATACTGAATTGTAGATGCTGAGGCAGGCCTGTGTTGGAAACAAGGAGCCTGGCCTCTAACTCATGACAATCCTCCTGCCTCAGCCTCCAAAGTACTGGGATTATAGGCATGCACCACCACACCTGGCTGCCTTTTTTTTTTTTTTTTTTTTTTTTAAAGTCATCCATTCCCAAAGGGCTGATTCTAAACTGGACACTTCACTTAGAGGACAATTCACAACACTCAACTGCCCTTCGAAGGGAAAAGTGGTGTATTGGGAGGCAAATAGATCTAGAGAGGAAACCCAGCGTCTCACTGTCCACGAGATGCTGCGCCTGTAAACTCTGTATTTCTTTTCTTTGTTTTTTGAGACAGGGCCTTGCTTTGTAGTTCAGGCTGGCCTTCAACTCACAGCAATCCTCCTGCTTCAGCCTCCCAAGTGCTAGGATTACAGGCGTGTGCCACCACACCCTGCACTTTGTCTTTCTTTGTCTCCAATTCTCCTTCTGTGAAAGACTGGACACAGGTCACGGGGCTACTGTTAGGGTACTGTGGTGCTGGTCGTCAGGCAGTGAATGGCAGGCACTATTACTTCAACACAGGACGGCCCACCCACCCAAGCTGAGCGCCCGTGAAGTGTAAATTGCTGGGAGCCACCGAGATTAGGACCCTCGCACCTGCAGCCCATGGGGTTGGGGGGCAGGCATAGAAGCACTTTTTGTGCCCCGTGTGACCAATGCTATAAAAGAGGTACATCGAGGTTCTCTGTGGCTGAAGAGGAAGGGTGTGGCAAGGTCAAGCAGAAGGAAGTGGCCGAGGGCCAGGCTGGGCGGGTGGTTGAGGCCTTGTTCTGCAGGGGGGCGGCAGGGCCAAGGACTCCTGCAGTGTGGGCCCCTCTCGGCTTCACCACGCAGGCCAGACCTTGGCTTATAAATCACATCTGAAAAAGGCTTGACAACTTTGCTCCCTGATGGACACCCAAGCCTCTGCGTATCCAGGGCCAGGTGGTCACAGGGCATGTGAATACCTCAAAGAGTGGGCTTAGAAGGGAAAAAAAAAAAGACAGGAAACATAGATTAGAATGAGGAAGGAGGCAGGATGGTTGCAGAGAAAAAGGCTTCGAGTTCTGACTCTGCCATTTAATATCCTGTGATCTCAGGCAAGTCTCAACAGCTTACTCTGACCTCAGTTTATTCATCTGCAGAATGGGGATAAACACAACCCTCCTAGAACAGCAAGCATCGAGATGGGTGAGGTGGTGTGAAAACAGTATTGCAAAATCTAAGTGCTGCACTCCTGCTCTCTCTCTCTCTCTTTTTTTTTTTTTTTTTTTTTTTTGTCTTTTTTGAGACAGGGTCTCACTATGCAGTTCAAGCTGGCCTTGAGCTTATTTTGTAGCCCAGGTTGGTCTCGAACTCGCAATGATCCTCCTGCCTCTGAGTGCTGGGACTACAGGCATGCACCACCATGCTCGGCTTCTGCGCTCCTTCTCGAGGACTGCTTGTTCCTGGGTCTGAGGAATGGATCCAATCGACGTGGTACAGCCATACAAGGAAGTATCATTCAGCAGTGGAAACAAGTGAGATACCGATCAGGGCTGCGAGATGCTAAGGAGGGAAGCCAGACACAAAGACCACACAGAGAATGACCCCACTGATGTGGAATGTCCAGAATGGGCGAATCTATAGAGAAAGAACATTAATGGTTGTCTGCAGCTGGCGGTGGGCGGGAGGGGGAGGGACTGCTAATGCAGCCGAGGTTTCTTTGGAGGTGATGAAAATGTTCTGCAGTTGCATCTTGGTAACGATTGCCCAACTCTGAGTATTCCAGAAACTATTGAATTGTATGCTTTAATGGGTGAAACGTTTGGTATGCGAATTATATCCCAATAAAGCCGTTAAGAAAACAAGCACGTTCATTACTTTGTCTCCCAGCACCTACCCGTGGGATGGCTCCGCGGGGCATACACAGATGCACGATTGTGCTGGCTTGCACAGGGCAGTGCTTGCCCGCGTATTCTTATTTTCATTTTATTAGCTTATTTGTTTGTTTATTCAGTCTACAAACATTTACTGAGGGTCTTGCCAGGTACGGGGGCCCGTGACAGGCTCTGGAGATCCAAGCGCAAAGCAGTGATGTGTCCTTGGGAGGCCCACGCCATGGGCCTGGAGGAGGCAAGGTGGTGGCATGGGGTACTCTGACAGAAGGGAACCCAGGGTGCCTTGGGAGCACGGAGGAGGGCATTGTGCCCACTGGGAGAGTGCAGAGAGGCTTCTGTAAGCCTCAAGAGGCAGGGA